CAGGTATTTGAGTTCAACATGTAACGAAGTAGAAAGTAAACAGGTAATGCTTGGTGTTCAACATAGTAATGAAGTAGAAAGAACTAGGTATTAGTGTTCAACGAAGAAGTAACAAAGTAGCAGGTATTTGGAGTTCAACAATGTCTTAGAAGTCAAAGTAAAAAGTTGTCAGGAAATAAGTAAGTGGAGTAAAAGTACTGATACCAGAACATTTATTAGTAGCAGTAACAAAGTAATTTGTACTCACCCTATTTCCCACCTCTGTAGTGGGATAATAATAAATCTCTAATAAACCAAATGTAAGAGGAACGAAAAAGAACAATATTAACTTTCTGACATGTAGAAGTACTAAGTGGCATTGTGAAAATAGTCCCGCTAAAGTTAAAAGTACCTCACATTTAACCAGCGTTAGATATATCCTGTGAGCAATCAGAGTTTTTCTTGTGCAGCTGAAACGTCTGTCTGCCACTTTAAGACGTCTGTTTTATTAGACCTAGAGGAACTAATTCGAATGATTCTAAATCGTTTTCTTTGTTGTCAGTCATGGAGTGAACCAGTCCAAACGACTGAAACGACGCGATGTTCCCCACAGGCTCATTTAGTGTTATCTAATGGTGACCATTGAAATGCAATTTAGATGGTCTCTTATCTGATAAAGTCTGTCTGTAGCTTTGCTCCGAGGTTACACCGTTGTAACGGTCCTGAGTATTTAACTGATTTGCCAGCGGACTCTACAGATTGTTCGTGGATCTAAGGGGTTAGATTTCTGTTAATGTAATATTCATTTAGATTAAAGAGTTAGCCAGCATGGAACTGAAGATGTGTAGACGATTTTATACATCCTTTTTACACCTGAACAGAGTGGGAGTACTCAGATCTTGTCTCTGAGTAAAAAGTGAGTACTCAGATCATGTCTTGAGTAAAAGTAGAAGTACTCAGATCTTGTACTTGAGTAAACAGTAGAAGTACCAGCTTTGTAGCTTGAGTAAAGTAGAAGTAACTCAGTTTGTTCTTGAGTAAAACTAGTAAGTTGACTCAGAATCTTGTACTGAATAAAAGTAGCAAGTACCCAGATCTTTGTTCTTGAAGTAAAAGTAGAGTACTTCAGATCGCGTGTGCTTGAGTAAAGTAGAAGTACTAAGATCCGTGTTACTATGAAGTAAAAGTAGAAGTTAGCTCAGATCGTGTACTTGAGTAAAAGTAGAAGGTAGCTCAGAATTTTTGTTCTTGAGTATAAAGTGAAAGTAGCTCAGATCGTGTACTTGAGTAAAAAGGTAGAAGTACTCAGTCTTGTACTTGAGTAAAAAAGATAGAAAGTACTTCAACATCCGTGTACTTGAGTAAAAGTAGAAGTACTCAGATCTTGTCTTTGGTAAGAAGTAGAAGTACTAGATCGTGTACTTGAGTAAGAAGTCACGAAGACTCAGATCGTGTACTGAGTAAGAATAGAAAGTAACTCAAGATCGTGACTTGAGTAAAAGTAGAAGTACTCAGTGTTATTTGTACTTGAGTAACAGTAGAGTACTCAGATCGTGTAACCTTGAGTAAAAGTAGAAGTACTCAGGATTCGTGTACTTGAGTAAAAGTAAGAAGTAACTCAGAATCTTTGTAACTTGAAGTAAAAAGTAGAAAGTACTCAGATTTTGTTTCTTGAGTAAAAGTAGAAAGTACTCAGATCTTGTACTTGAAAAAAGTAGAAGCTA